TTTTGTTTTATGGTTTCACTTTCAAAAGTCTAAAAATTTCTCAGCTAAACATGATTTTTTTAGTGAAATTGTAGTTTCCTTTCGTTCATGTTTTGTTTTACATTGTCGAGGAAAAAAACATAATTGTTACTGAACGAAGCCTCTTTCTTTGTTACCGAGTTTCATCATCCCTTTCTCTTGATACCCATAAATACATTCCTTTCGTCTTCCCTTCTCCTTCCACCGAATTTGAGTAGGGATGTCAATCCAACCCGTAACCATGGGTACCCTACCCGACCGTAACCGGTCAACGAGGGTAATTACCCGCTTTGACGGGTAAAGGGGCGGGTACGGGTAATACCCGGTTTCAAAATAAAGGGTAGGGTACGGGTATGGTAATCGATAATACCCGCTCCGTTATACCCGCCCCGCTAACCAAAGGGTCAATTTCCCTTGAGAAATTTAGATTAGCTTGAAAAATTGAGTTTAGCTACCATTATTGATGATGAAGATGTAGACGATTATTATGTTTGTGTGGATTGTAGAAGCAAGAACAATTATTATGTGTTTGCTATTTTTATTTGTGTGGATTGTTGAAGCTCGAATAGTTACAAGTATTGAGAATTTTTTTTTTATAAAGAAGTATTGAGAATTTTTAATGGACAACAGTATGTATGTGCATATATGTGTATAAGTTCATAGTTTAGGGTTCGTACCCATGGTTACCCGAATACCCGTGGTTACCCGGTGGGTAGGGTATGGTTATATAATTTTCATACCCGGTGGTTATTTGGTCGGGTATTTTAGAAAGCTCTACCCGGCGGGTTTGGAGTTGGTATAGGGTAAACCCGCACCCGACCCTACCCATTGCCATCCCTAAATTTGAGTCACCTAGTGATATCTTCCCCTTCTTCATAATCTACCAGATTCTTTATAGAATGAAGTTCCTTTTATCGTTCGGTCAAAATCGTCTTTCCAATTCCTAGATTCATTCAACTTTTTATATAATAATTTAAATAGAATTATGGGGGTGAGGCACATAGTAAACCTCAATTTGGATTGCAGGCTGCAACTCGCCTGCATGAACCTGGAATCGCTAGAAATTTGGATATGAATCTTTGGTGCTGGGAGGAGTTTAGTTCCTTTACCTGTGGTGGGAAAATTTGCAACAATTTTTGTTGAATATGTTATCCAACTTTTCTCTTTACGCAAGATTTCAAAAATCTGTCTCTTTCGGTTATCGTGGAATCAGAAGAACTTGGTGTATTGAGATTTCAAATTGTTGAACTACTTGATTTATCTCCCTAACCTCTTTTGTGCTTATTAAGTTAATTTGGAACTTAACGAGGCAAATCATCAATTTAGGGACTAGCAATTTAGGTTATTCATTTATGACTATCGATCTGCCACCTGCCCTTTCAAATCATACAATTTCATATCGATAACATGTGTCGTGATTAACAAAGATGATAAATACGGAAAACATTTTCATGGATTTACAATTTCATGGATATATTGGACTATATCAAAGATCAATCATACACACTTTCTCTATAAACATTGTGAATCACTATCAGTTGTATATCTTTCCTAATTACACGCATTATAAGTAGTAGCAACACATACAAAACAGATAATAATCAAACTCATCCGACTAATGGGCCGGACCCGGTGCTAATTAAGTTCTAGATTTAAAACTAGTAATTTTATCGCTAGACAAAATTCTAGTTGAACCGTTTTCACTTTCCAAACTGTGATGTGATCATTAAACTTTAAACCGGGATTAATTATTTAAACTGGTTTAAGAGTCTTCACTTGAATCACTTCAGTCGGCAATGGAAAATCCAAAAAGGCCACTGCCAATCCCTTAAACGCCCACAGAAGAGCTACAGAGTAACAAAATGGAAAAAGATGAGAAACGTTGAAAAGTTCATTTAAAAGAGTGAAAAAACGGATGTTTGCGGCCATTGAAACCCTCTTCACAAATGGAGCGACAAATCAAGGTTTTGATCCTTATTATCAATCTTCTTCTTGGCACTCGAATTGCCACTGATAGCGATTGGCAGATGACGCAATTGATCCTCCTTGAACTCGTAATTACTCTCCTCGCTGCTGCACCTTGTGCTCCTCTGCCAATTCGCGAAGCTCTGTTCGTCTTCCTCCTGCTGCTGCTGCTGCTGCTGACGGTGCAGCCTCCCGCCGTAAAGCACCATGCCGTCGAACCTTGGCCCGCCCCCATTTGCTCCGAAACGGCCCGCGAATTGGCGATGGTGGTGGTGGGCGGCGGCGGTGGTCGTAGGACAGCACTGCAGGCTGGCTGCATGCGCAGTTATGTAGAGGGAATTTGGGTGATGCAGCATCGGAACTCCCAGGTGGTGGGCTGCCGGAGAGAAAACCAAAGGCGGGGACGCCGCGGCGGCGGCGTATTCCGATGATGCTCTTTTGGCCTTCCTGGCTGCGTTCCTCTCCTTCTTGTGAGCGTTTTGGTGGCCGCCCAGAGCCTGAGAGCTGTAGAATTTTCTTGAACAGAAGAGACAGGGGAAGACTCTGGCTGCCGCTGCTGCTGCTTCCTCCTCTGCATTAGTCCTCTTGTCTAGCTCAGTTTCCATATGTGGAACGAATTATGGGAATTTGGGATTGGGAAAGACAAGAGTTTAGAGTAGTGAAATAAAAAGGAGCAGAGAGAAGTGGTGTCTAGTAATAAAGAGGAAGGAGGGAGTGGAAAAGACAAGAGTTTAGAGGAGGAGTTGGAAAATGTGAAGAAGAGCTTTTTGGGTTTTTTCCCCCTCTTCCCTCCCCCACCCTTCAACTGTGGACTGTGGTAATTGAATGATATGAGAGACAAGGTGCTGTATGGGCTTGGGAACAGGAGATAAGAGAAAGATGGAAGACAGAGGCAGAGGCAGAGAGAAAGACAGAGTAGGTTGATGCATGGTGAGATAGAGAGGGAGTTATTGGTGGGAAGGAATGGCGAGTGATGCCACCAGTCCAGTATTCATTCAGCAAAGCCATACAGTGTCTCTCTCTCTCTGTCTGTCTCTGACAAAGTTAAGCTAATTAAAGATGCTAATCATCTAGTTTAAGTGTGGCTTGATTAATGAGGTTAGTCAGGTCCCCACTCTGAACTCGAGATAGAAATGGCAGAGGTCAGAGATCCATTAACTAAAACCTCAAACTGGGGGGTGGAAATGGGTGCTGCTTGGCTTGCTGCACTAACCAATGATATGATGAAGTGCTGCATTCAATGGAAGATAAAAAGAAAGGTGCCTTTTCTCACTTTGGAAAACCCAACAGGAAGATGCCCCCAGAGGGCTAGTGGGAGGGAGAATGGAAGATGAGGTCCAGTGGGAAGTTAAAAAGGGCTGGCTATTTGGTTCTGGACTGTTTGGTTTTACCCGAAACGGGACCGAACTGGGACCGGATAGCAAACAATCCAATCTCATATTCGGGTTTAGATTTGAGGTAAAAAAAACCCGGATAAAGACCGGATAAGAGACCCCAACACCTAAAATCAAGATCAAATTGGGACCGGACCGGGTCAAGACCGGACCGAATCAAGACCGGACTGTATCCAATCCAATCTTTGGTCCTTATATTCCCGAAAAGACCGGATTAGGACCAGATCAACTTGGTCCAATTTAACCGGACCGGACCGTATAGCCACCCTAGAAAGTTTGGATTGGATGACTTTAGAAAGCTAAGCTAGAAGAGAGGGAAACCCAAATGCAGTCTCCACTTGCTTCTGGTTATGGAACTCACCGGCTGTGGTGTGGGTCTTTTATTGTTGTTTGTGTTCAGTTCAGCCCCTCTGCTGCTTATTTCTGACTCGGACCATGCAACTGGCTGCTGCCTCTCCTTGATGCTCTCTCTCTCTCTAATCTGATATCTACTTTCAAACACCAAAGATGGCAATGTGTCAGTTTGGAGTGGATTTGTGTTAAACTATCTTCACCAATTCTCAAATATCCAAACCCGTACCCACTCTACACCCAAGTGAGTGAGATTTTGCAATCTCATTTCCATTCCCACGGTTTTCGGGTAAACCCGTTATAATACTTGTCCCGTATTTCCAATATTACTATACATAGAATTCAACAGGTGAATCTTCAATTATAAGACTAAACGGACCTAATAAATCACGAAATCAACGAAGATACAATCAATCTCAAAACAAAATTAAAGCATCCAATCCTAAAATATCCAGAAGACAAATTATATCTCAACTCTTCATTTTTTTAATTACACTTCCGGTCATTGAGATATTGACATATGATCTCTACATTTATAATATAAAAAAAGTTGATTCGACGAATATATGTATGGGTATGGAACCGGAACCGGAACTAAAATCCAAACCCGCTATCTCCATCAAACATTTAACTGGTTTATTCATACTCTGTCAATATGCAAATTCGCACCTTAACTTGGTCGGGAAGGTCGAATACCCGCATCTACGGATTTGATTGTCATCCCTACCCAGTATCCTTACTTCTTTGTCCCCAATTCCTAGCTACATATTTTTCTTTGTTATTTTCTACTCTTTGCAACAGTTATGGCTATGAGGCTGAACAGTCATTGGTGGCTCATTCTCCACCGCCAATTTCCATGCAAAGTCTCGCTTTTCACGCCCCAAACTGAAGAATTCCTGACACCTCCGTTTCTTGGTTCATCAACATGTGGCAAGTGAAGGCATGGGTTGCCTTTGTATTCGTTTGGTTTAAATTTTGGTATTATTAATGCTCTGACCAATAGGGGTGGCTATACGGTCCGATCCGGTTAAATTGGTCTGAATTGATCCGATTTCAGTTCGGTCTTTTCGGGAATACAAGGACCAAAGATTTGATTGGATACATTCTGGTCCTAATTCGATCTTGATTTTAGATAGAACTTGGAAGGTTTTGAGTGTCCTAAAGACTCAAATGGTGAAAAGTTGGTTAAGTTTTGAGTGTTGGGCACTCTTATCCGGTCTTTATCCTGTTTTCGATCCGGTGCCAAACGATTTTTTATCTCAAATCTAAACCCGAAAATTGTATTGAATTGTTTACTATCCAATTCCGGTTCTAGTTATACAGTCCAGTTTCGGATAAAACCAAATAGCCCGAACCAAATAACCAGCCCTGACCAATTTCACTTCGGTCGAGGCAGAATGGTCCATTCTCACAAACAAGAACCATCATCGGTCTTTCACTTCATTAATTAATTTAGTTGGGGATAAATACATAGTGTAGCAGCTATGGATTTGTGATCCGCCCTTGTATTACAAGAACTTTCCGTCAGCCCAGGTATATAATGCTAGATGTGAATGAAATCTTGGTATCACACACGGTATGATTCAAATCAAACAGCAATGGCGCCTGCATAAATGTTGATGACGATCCAACCAGCGGGCGTTTCACGAACAACCGAAGCATCTACCAAAGGAGAATACGCTAGATGGCTCTGCAACTCGGTCAGGCTCGCCCTTCTTTTTCCGGGGAAGATGCTTCAAGAACGCTCTCACTGCTCCATCCACTCCATCTTCATTCTCCATGGCCTTGGCTAGCTCCACTGCCCTCTCCTTAACCTGGAACAAAACAATGCTATCTTCACAAGTTAAACTCTCCCTCCTCAATTGAGCCTGAGGTACTACATGATTGCAACTCTCCAATTCACAATGGCTACAGATAATGGCGCTACGGTGCGTAGGTTGGTAGACTCCAACAAGTTAACACAACCGCCATCTACCCCGAAAGTATCCCAACAACAAAGAACTTTGAGATTGTCAAGTCTTTCTGGCTTTTGTTCTAGCACCGGCCAGTAACCAATTGATAGGACGTTTTCTTGTTCGATAGAAAAATGATCGACTTGATTAATAGAGGGAGCAGAAGAGAGCAACATTACCTGAGGATCTAGCATGAACTTTACTGCTTCAACCAATTTAGTAAGTGAGAACTCCTCAACTTGAATAGGGGGTGGGCCCACTCCTCTAGCATGTACTCTTTCGCCCCAGAAGGGTTGGTCGCCAAAGAAGGGCACAATTGTAGTTGGGCACTATAACGAAGTAACAAACAAAATGAAAATTACAGAGAGTATGCTAGACGATAGAAGGCAAATACACGGAAAAAAAAAAGAGGAGGAAGTTATTTGAGCTCATACTGCAGCTTTCAGGCCAGCAGCTGTTGTCCCTGCACCTCCATGATGAACCTGAAGGCAGCCAATACTGGACATGGTGAAGGATATGCCATTTCCTCACTATTAACCAAATAAAAGAAAATTTATACAAAAACGCTCAACATTGCATCAGTTACTCGAGTCCTGTAATATAGTCTAGTCTGTCTTTATAAATCTTTTTAATGATGTATATGTATTCACGGTAGAAAGCAACGAGTATGGAAGATGGATAAAGGTGGTGGTGGTGGCTTTACTCGCAAATATAAAAGTTAACTATTTGGGCCTTACCACTGCTTTGCATTGCAGGAATAGCCAGTCATGAGGGATGTTATCCAGGAGATATATGGAGTCCTTTGGTTCTGCCACTGAGATGATTCACAAAAGTAACAACCAAGACGTAAAACACAATGCTGCTTTCTGAGAGACCAGGGAAAGACAGATTGTTTAGGGAAAAGGCATTCAATAGCAACATTAAGCTTACAATTGCCTAGGCCCCCCCAGCCTTTGTTAATGATGCCCCTCTGCCCAGTTTGTTCCAATGCCTCTACGATAATTTGCGTCATCTTCTCAGGTTCCTGAACTGGCTGAAATAGAATTCGGAAGTACTAAGAAAATTTCACAGTGAAAGGCACACATTCAAACCAAGGGGAAAACACAAAACTCAAAAGATAAACCCTTGAGTCTTGACAGAGCAAAGGATATGACGAGCAGCACATCTGGAAATCTAACCAACTGTAGTAATTTTGATAGGCAGTCCAGTAAAGATTACTCATGGATTGCAAAACAATAAAAGGAGTAAAAACGTAACCCCTCTCATCCTCCTTATCAGCACAGCCAAGTACAATAATAATTTCAAATCCAAACACCATCCACTGGATGTGGTAACTTAATCAATGAGAAAACCAGTTATAGGCTGCCACGTTTGAACCACGGATACCTAGATATATACCATGAGAGGAATTGATTTTACAGCCTCTTCTTGTTCATTGGACTTTATCCGTGTTGATCAAAATCCATAAAAGAGATCTTCGAAAAAGAAGTAAAATGAAGAGACTCATTCAGATACCACCTTCCAGACTGCAAAGTGGAAGAGTTTTCTTCCCTAGCAAATTGCTATCTTCTGTAGCAAAAGATAGGGTCGACCGACCAGAGGAAAAGGAAGATAAGGTAAACTTTAACATTTTTCTGTCAGTCAAAAACTTAAACAGCATCTACAAGTTTTTGACGGGTGTTTCTTTTCATATGGGAATGGAGCTTTAACTTGGCCAGCAAAACACAGACATCACTCTCAACTTCATGTCGCAGTCCTATCTCAAAGAGGAAACACTTACATTTAGCTGAAAGAACATCAAATAATTACGAACATCCTAGACAGACTGAAAAGAAAAACCCTTCAGAAGCAGGTAAAAAGCAAGGGAAGGAGACTCACAAGGCTACCAAATCCAATATAGATAGGTTTTGGACCAGCCTTCAGCCATTTGACGAGTTCTTCGGGAGGTTCAAAATTTGACGCAAGATCAAGGAAGCAAAATCCAACCACATCTACTCTTGGGCCCCAGTCTACAAACCAAATAATAGTAGAAAGTATACATTAGCACTCTCTATCTAGAGATGATAACACCATTTGCACAACATCAAAGGGAAAACTCTACTCAAACTAGATATTTGCTGCTCTAATACGATGTTGCTAACAGCCCGATATCTTAAAGTACCTTTAGGCTTAGGGACAAGGTGAGGACTCCAAATGTATGCATGTGGCACATCAAACTCAGAACCCTGTGAACCACTAAGATAGGTAACAGGCCGTAGCTTGAGCTTCTTTTTCCTTACGTCATTTATCATATCCCGTATTCCCAGCCAAATCAGTGAGTCGACAATTTGATAAGACAGCTACCAAAACAACAGAGAGCAAAGATTAAGTCAGATGACTTAGAGAAGTCGAACAAAGAGTACGAATTTGTTTTTCCCCTTTTATGGATGTAAGAGAAAGAGAGAACCAATGGACTCACTCGATACCCAGCTGGTTGCTTGACCCGTGACAAAGGATGCGGAAACTCACTTGTTGGCCTGATGAGAGCGGGAAAATATTCTTAAGTCCCTTAAGATGACTAGTACAAAGCAAAAGACAAAAACCCAGGATGCTATCCATGGGCGACATCTATCCAGCAGAACCATTACCCAGAAAAGACTTACGTCCAAGGCATAGTGAAAAATATGTGGATTGGGATTTTCAGTGCCTCTGCTACATGAGTATGCCCTAAAAAGGTATGAAAAAGGTTAGTTTGGGAACAGTCACTACAAACACAACAATGGAGACAGAATAAAGCCAACCAAAAAGAAAACAACTCAACCAAGGTTGGATTCCCAGGAAAGCAGGTAGATAAGAATAAGCAACAGATGAAGATGAAACTAACTAGGACTTCTCATTTAACAAGATATATATTAATAGTAACACATCGAATATGCCAATGAAAATTAAGAAAACCATGAGAGACAAACATGGTCAATGTGACAGGAAAGGTTCTCTAAAGTGCATAAGAGGAGTTCACTCTAATCAATGTTAGACCAGAATAGTATTTCCAATGAAACAAACTCACCATAGGCTGGAGGATTGGCAATCATCGCATCTGCCTTAAATGGGATGCCAGAATCTATATCAGGTTCTTTACAAGCAGGAAGCAATGACCATATTATATCTTTCAATTGATTTCGCTGCACCGGTATCTCAGATGGCCCAGATGGTAAGAAGCCTTTATTTTTCACCATGTCTGGTCAGAAGACAGGCAAACAAATCACAAGAGATGATCCTGAGCTCCATGTAAACAAGTGCAAGTCCTTGATACAACATAATGCTGATACTCGAGCACGTAACACATTAAATTTCCCAGATAATGAATTTCAGAGAAAATTATGCATTTTAGTGTCTGGATTTCAACATATTTATTCTTCAAAACAACAAACCAATTTAAGGAAATTCATACTCTCCTTTAAAACTTGTAGTTCTGAAGGCCAAAAAATTTGCAAGTTCAACTAATAAAGCAAAAATATGGTTCAAAAAGGCACGCTTAATCTTACGCTTAGGCACGCCTAGGTGCAAGGCAATGGCAAAACGCCTCGCCTAGGGATTTCGCGCCTAATTAGATACCGGAACACGTTAATGGAGTACGACGACATATAAGTCTCTCCTAAACATTACTAGATGGAGCTGAGAAGTCAATATTAAATACCAAAATTAACATCAACTATGAAATCAATTTTCTATTGCAATATTTTCAATAGCTCAAGAACTTTGTGAACTATTGAGCTATGATTCTATGAACTCGTAAGATATATTCCTGTCATTAAGTGTTGAGTAAGTTATTAATCATTTTAACTGAAGTGAGGAAGTGTTGTAGATTATTATTTCATTCATCATGCACTGCGAATAACTATTTTCTTCCAACGCCTAGGCACGCTTAGTCAACGCCTAGACGAGCTAGGCGCAAGGCAAAGGCTCAACGCCCGCCTTACGCCTAGCGCCTTTTTGAACCTTGAGCAAAATGAACCAGTATACCACCGACTTATCATTCTTTTTTTTTTTCTTTTTTTTTTATTATATGTGAAGTTATCACCCAAAGTTTGAACCCATGATGTGGTGTAAGTTATCATCCTCAGTTTAAGCACATATGCAGATGTCAGGGATAGCAACTAGGACCATATAATGGATAAGAAATGATATCGAAGTAAACTAAGCAAAATATTAGGTACTTACAACCAGCAAGAATCTTGGGATCTCCTCCTAAAGGGTAAAACTCCAACCCTGCTGTTAAGACAAACTCCTTAAAATTTGAATGAGTTGCTAGTCTGACGCGATGACCATAATCCTGCACATAAAACCAAACTTTAAAATGTTCCTCTTCTCAAGAACTACGAATACATATTCACTAATATTCAAAAAGAGCTGTTACAACGAGAAACTTTAATTCGCGGTCCTCATCTTGAATATACCGATAACCAAAGACTTTCAAGGATACTTAAGAAGAAAAGGTAGCAAAACGATTACAAATCAAGGCACCAACTAACGACATCATCTACATCACGAGGACACATAAAGCACAACAATTTAATGAATAAAACAAAGAAGTAAACAGTGGGTTGAAAATTAACCTGCAACCGTTTACCAATTGCAATAAATGGTTGCACATCCCCACGTGTACCAACAATTAGCATCACTATTTGCAAAGGTGGTATATACTGAAGTTCTGCTCCATCGAGAGGCTCATCCCCTGTGGCTGCAGAGCAAATATCTTCACCTCTGAGACCAAGAGTTTGGGGCTCAACATCTCCTGGAACTTCAAATTCTACAGTTCCATTATCCTTGACAGTAGCAATTCTGTTCAACAATTGAAGCTGCACAGTTTTAATAAAACAAATAAAAATCTCAAGCAATGTATCAACATTATTTTGAGTAGCTACTCTAACAGGACTGAAAGTTCCACAGGTATACATGAAACAGGTATATAAAGTTAACCACTTGAATTACCTTTTGCTGGACAGGGATCTTGTTATCAAAAATTTGTGCTGCATCTTCAGCAAGTATGTTGTGATGTCTTTGCCTTTCAGTCTTAGATCTTTCCAACCTAAGATGATTTGAAGTTGGTTCCGAGCCTTTGACACTTGATGTAGACTGTGTGGCAGCGCCTGCAACAATTAATATCAATCAAACAATGAAGAAATGTGGGAAACTCAATAAAGAAAGATAGTTCCCACACAAGGATTGTGTACATTAGTGGTCTCATCAATGACCGAAACAAACAAAACTTCGATCAGGGAGCAGGAACTATTGTTAAAAAAAGAGGGGGGAAACCATAGCTAGCAAGTGAAATAAAGGTCTTAAGCAAACAGGGAATATAGCGTCTTATAACCCGATCTCTCCCTTCCTTCCATCACAGCAGTACTCCCCACATAAGCTGTCTTTTTAAACTTGGAAACTCTAGAATCCATATCAATTACTAGGAATTAACTATTTCCATTCCCGAGGCTGACAAATTTGGAGAAATACACAGCAAGGGACCATGACAAACTCTATAAAAGATGTTTCTAAGTTGGACACTAATGCCCGAAGTTCCATAGGAGAAACGTTTATGTACTGCACAAAGATTTCCCATTTGAACAGCCATACAGTCAGGCGAAACCTCGAACTCAAAGAATCCTTCTGCAGCACGGATGAAACTTTTCGCACTAACCAGTGTACCTTGTACTTTAGATTGCAGTGGGAAGAGATGTAAGGTCTTCATCTCAACCTACCTTGGATGTGAGCCGGACGACTGAAACTGATAATGCCAGCGCTTGACCAATGGAGCACTAAATAATTCTACATGGAATCGAAATGCAGGGACGAGCTAACCTACTTGATGCCATTAACAAACCTTTTCACCACCTAGTGCACTGTCAGCGGCAAACAGAGAGTCCAAAAAACCTTCCCTATCTTCTTCAGAAAGTCGCTTCCACATCCAGAAGGCCGAGTCAAACCGATCGAGCAAGATGGCCGTATGGCAACAAAATTAGCATCTATTGACCAAAACTGAACCATTTCATTCACTATGAAGCGGACTACCTCGCTTAGAAGAAGAGATGGAGACACATAAAACAGGACAACAATCCCCCCTCGAACCAACTACAAAGCAGATTCGAGCAAAATAATTTCGACAGCCATAGAAGAATAGCCTATATCGCAAACAAAACGGTTGACCTCTCCCAAAATAGCAAACCGCAAAAGAAATAGTAGTAAACACAATCCAACAATTAGGCACCTCCGTTGTTCACTGACCCGCCGCCGCCGCTACTACTGCTACCAGCAGCCTCCCCGCTGGCCTTGACTTGGACACCATTTACGCTGCTGCCGCTGGTTGCCGTTCCAATTTCGGACTTGGAACTAGGGGCTTGAACTTCAACAGAAGTCGATGAAGAAGAAGAGGAAGCGGAGGAGCTGCGGCCAATCACCGCTGACTCCTGCATAGTTGGTGCTGGCAATTCAGGTGACTCCCGATTCAGATCTGCGTGCATTCTCCGAAAGAACGACAGCCAGGCTTTTCCCACTCCGAGTAAGTAGGCCAATTCGGAGAGGGTGGGGGAAATTCCCTTTCAACTTTCAAGACCTCCTTCCTCAATCCTCACTGCTTTTCTCTTTTTTTCTTCTCTTTTTTTCACTTTTTCTTTTTTCCCTATTTTAGTAGAGCTGGCGGACTACGTAAAAAAGGCTTAATTGCAAGATTGGTCACTCGAATTGCTATAAAATTTCACGTTTGCCACTCAAATTAATTTATTCCATTTATAGTCACTCGAATTAGTTGAACAGTTCAAGTTCGGTCACTCTCCGTTAACCTCCATTAACTTTGACTGACGTGGCGGTCAACTCTGACCGTTAAATGTGTGACGTGGCAAATAAAAAATAATTAAAAAATAAAAATTAAATTTTTAGAAATTAAACATCATTATAAAAAAAATTATAATTACAAAAAATGAAAAAAAAAATTATCACAAAAACTTGAACTGTCGCTCCGACCACTCTGTTTCCAGATCGGACTTCCAACGTCACCGAATTGGCCGGTGGCATTGGCATCTCTCATCCATCAGTCGCCCATCAAGTTCCTGTTGCTCTGCATCCTCTCTCAATCAACGCAGTCTTTTGTTGTACACAATTCTCCCAATCGAGGACAACAAACTAATCAGAAAACCCCCACCAACTGCCAAACCCACTAGAACCCTCGAACCAACTCTGTTTTTGCCCTTCCTAGCGACAGGAGCAGAATTAGTAGGAGCAACGAATCGTTCCAAGTTGGAAGCAAAATCTCAGGAGTGAATCCTGTGAACGGCGACTAACCGACCGGTGGAACCGGTGAACCCAAAAGTGGCCTCTTCGGGAAGGTAATCCCTCAAATGGACAATGCAGCTGAGCCGCTGAATCGTCGAAACGTTCCCCGCGTACCGAGTTACCACAACGCTCAAGTTACGGAGAGTGGAATTGTAAGATATCCAAGCATCGCTCTTCCTCCCACCCAGATATACAATGCAGCTGAGCCGTTATTCGTTTCTCGCGCGGAGCTCAGCAACCGCCGCGAAAGTATTTGATTCGCCTTCGTTTTTGTACGTCCAGATTCCGCGAAGCTGCTCTCTGGCGGTTACAAAGGTAAGCTGAACATTGCCATTACTCTTCATAAATAGTAGGATTTTCCGGTGGTTTGCTGTAGGTTTTGGCTAGGGAGATTGGAACGTGGTATAGGAAATTTCATACGACTCAGGTGGATTTTTTTTTTTATCATAGTCAGATGAAATAGTAGACAGATATGTTTACAATAGGTAAAAGTAACGGCAGTCAATACTAATCGATCTGTCGATGAAAGAGCCCTTTATGCCACAAAATGGGCAGCTCTGTTAGTTCCTAAGAATAGACTCAGGTGGATTTGGTTTGGCTGATTGGTACTAGACCTTTTGGGAGCCGAACGGGGAAATAATCGTGTGGCGGGGAATTTAAATGGGCAGAGATCTCTGTTGATAGAGCTGAGCTTGATTGGGATAGATGGTTTTAGTCGTGTCCGGGTCGACCAGGGCGGATTACCCTCAGTGGAAGGAGAAGGTTGTCGTCGAGATGCCAATGCCGCCGGCCAATTCGGTGACGTTGGAAGTCCGATCTGGAAACAGAGTGGTCGGAGCGCAGTTCAAGTTTTTGTGATAATTTCTTTTTTTCATTTTTTATAATTATAATATTTTTTATAATGATGTGTAATTTCTAAAAATTTAATTTTTATTTTTTAATTATTTTTTATTTGCCACGTCACACATTTAACGGTCAACGGTCAGAGTTGACCGCCACGTCAGTCAAAGTTAACGGAGGTTAACAGAGAGTGACCGAACTTGAACTGTTCAACTAATTTGAGTGACTATAAATGGAATAAATTAATTTGAGTGACAAACATGAAATTTTATAGCAATTCGAGTGACCAATCTTGCAATTAAACCACGTAAAAAATATAGAGAAAAACTTTATCCTACAAAACCTTAACATTCACCTCCGTGGGAATGGCAATGTGCACGGCTGCTATCTCGATATCCATACTCACTCAGTGGCCAGGGTCGGGTAATTTATTATGAAACGCGGATTGGGACAGGTCGATCCATTGAGTATATAATTTATGCAAAAAATCTTAGAATTATTCGTTATTTCAATTAAAAGACAAAGAAAGAAACTGTAATTTGATAAAATGTAGTTAAATTATTGGAGAGATTGAGTTTTTCACTTATTAACAACTTTATTATACATTAAATATGATGTAATAAGAGGAAAATTCTAAGTAATTAGACTAAGATTACATGTAACTTAGACCAGAACGGGTCGAGAATGGGATGGGTCAGGGCAGGTTGGGTTGATGAGAGGTACTCATTCCCGCCCTGCCCCACCTACAGGGCAGGTCCGACCCTCCCCAAAACAGGTCAAACAGGTCGGATAAATCAGGTCAGGTCGAATTGCCATCCCTACACCTCCAGAATGGTAACTGGATTTTAAGGGCTCAAGATTATGCACCAATCAATAACTAAATCTCGACATTTCATTTAGAAAATCCAGATCTAAGGATGAAGAATTAAATGTCATTTTTATTTTCCCTAGCTTTCTTAATCGGCTCATATCTTCTTCGTTTTAACTCGGATTTCAATTTTTTTTTGCACATTAGGAACAAGTTCATTGTGCTCTACAAAACGATATTCATTTTCAATATTTTTTTAGAAAAAAAAATTTCTTGCCTCTCGGTACCAACTGCAAACTATATGGTATCTTCTTCGTTTTTAATTCGTTTTTGAAAACGTTTGCACAGAAGGAATGAGTTCATCATGATCTATTGGATCTACAAATTTCTGGGTGAACAAATTACAGGATCAAAATATACCACACAATACCACCCTAGTACGAGGTGGTATCTTGTGGTATACAATGTTAAAAGTCGTAAATGACAGTTAATATACTTCTACTATCATGTATTCAACCATCCTACAGTCTTGGTTTGCTCATACCACCATGGTACGTTTTTCAAACCATAGGTATAGTCTTATTTCAATACTAGTCAATACCATATGGTATAGACTGGTAAAAAATAGCTCAATTTTTTTTGTTCCAAAAATATATCAAAGTGGAGATCATTTTGAAGAGCACATTTAATCTGATTTATCTGTGCAAACAAATTTAAATTTCTACTTAACACGAAAAAGAAATCGTCCATTAAAGATTAAAGGGGGGAAAATAAAAGACTTTTCAGGAGAGATAGGGATGTTGATGTCATGCTGATGTGGACGGGTTACTCATGGTTACTCACCATAAGGTTACTCACTCAATCTGCTCCCGATTTTAAGTAGCCACCCTGGCTATTTTAGTATCCATCATTTATTTTTTTTCTTTTTCTTTTCTTTTATCTCACAGTTAAGATTGTTTTAGGGTAATTCTGGAAGAAAAAATGCCACACTTGATTTTTTTAAATATTATACCTTAATCCTACTTCTCCCTCTAGTTTAACCCACCGCAACCGCAAGCTCTCTCCTCCTCGACGACAATAACTTTCGCACCGCCTACGCCGGCCATTCCTTCCGCTCCCTCTCTCTCAAACCCTCCTGATCCTCCCTCTCTCTCCGACGTGCCGGTCATCCTCCCCCGTCCTCTCTCTCCGACCCTCCTGCCTCAAAACAATTAGATTTGTTTTGTGTTTCTTCATCCTATGCTTGCAGTTCTTCATTGGAGGGTACTATAAGTGAATAAGTTGTTTAATTTTGTTTTATTGCTTCTGGGTTTTCTTTGTTGAACCTATTAATTATATTGGCAAGCTAATTGTGTTGTGATTTGGAAGGAAGAAGATTGATTGATGATTTGACGTGAAGAGAGTAGAAAGATTGGTTTGTATTTTTTTAAATGATTGTGATTCTTTTCGTAGTGGTAGTGTTTTTCTGCATTGGTATTGTTTTTCGATTATCATGTAATGGTATTGATTAAATCTGCAATGATATTGGTGTTTTTTTGAAATGGTAGTGTTTATATTTCTCAAATGGTATTGGTGTTTTGTGCAATGGTAGTGTTTTTCTAATGGATTGGTATTGATTTACTGTTTGTTGTTGCAGCGGTATTAGTTCGGCTGATTAACGTATGACCACACCAATACCTATCAAACCAAACATATATACCGATAAAAATATGTATCAATACCAAAACAATAATAAATCATACTCCTACGATGTCTGATGAAGACCGACATCAACAATATGTCTACCAACACATAACTACAGACAATAATACCCAGGGTTCAAAAAGGCGCTAAGCTTAAGGCGGGCGTTGAGCCTTTGCCTAGCGCCTAGGCGTAGACTAAGTGTGCCTAGGCATTGGAAGAAAATAGTTATTCCCACTGCATGATGAATTTAATAATAATCTACAACACTTCCTCACTTCAGTTTAATAACTTACTCAACACTTAATGACAAGAACATAGCTCACGAATTCATAGATTTATAAATCAATAACTCACAAAGTTTGTGAGCTATTGAAAATATTGATATAGAAAATTGTTTAGTAGTTGATGTTAATTTTCTTCTTTAATATTGACTTCCTTGCTCCATCTATAAATGTTTAGGAGAGACTTATATGTCGCCTTACTCCATTGAAGTGTTCCAGCATCTAATTAGGCCCGAAACCCCTAGGTGAGGCGTTTTTCCATTGCCTTGCGCCTAGGCGTGCCTAAGCATAAGGTTAAGTGTGCCTTTTTGAACCATGATAATACCATTAAAACACAGGGACAAGCAAAACAGTTCATTTTAATGGTATTTATACTGAACCAATATCAAACCATGCACATCCTACAACCATTATGCAGACACTCCGCATCCAACTCAATTTCAATATTGAATACCAATCTATCAAAACAGATATACAACAATACCAATGTAAACACTACCAATAAAACATAGCATCACTACCAAAACAATAAGCACCAGAATACCATTCTTACCCTTTGTAGTAATCACTGTCACCTCTCCCATTCCATTAGGGATGGCAACATAATCCAAAGTCCGAACCCACGATTACCCTACCCGACCCAACCCGGTCAACGGGGATAAAATCCGATCGACAGATTATGGACCGGGTTCGGGTTTAAACCCGTTTTATCGTTTTGCGGGTTGAGTTGG